TGGCGGAGTCGTTTTTGCACGAAAGTGAGAGTACGAAAAGCCGATATCCGGGGCTATAGCTGGGTTGGTGAACCACTGGCACTTCACCTAGGGGAGTTGGCCAAAAACCCTGATTCCAAACCAACTATGAGGAGACGTACGAACCAAACCCACACCTTTCGGTTGTGGCAGTGGTCACCGGCTCGATTGGGCATCGAGGTGTATTGGGCACCTTGGACGTTTGACTCCGTCCGAAAGGCGTATGACCCGATGAACTGAACACCGATAGATTACAGTTTTCACACACCGCCCCGTTGCCTTGCGGGTCAGGTTTTGGTTAGCCAAAGGCACCGGTTGTGGATTCCCCAAGAAAATTCACCTGCCTTGGCCTGGGCAACCTGACAGTATTCGGCCCACTTGCAAATCGTGGAGCATTTTCCTTTTTATGAAGATTATTGTACCATGATTTGTTTGGCACAGTCTGTCCTCAGACAAGTGTGATATATATATATATATATATATATATATATATAGATTGAGTTAGAAGCGACCGTTCACAAAGATGACAGGTAGGGATTTCTAACCCCCTACTAACGGAACCGTTTTTAGGCGCATCAATATCCCATTCACGATCTTTCAGTCTGACGAAAGTAAAGCAGTGATTTGCGTTTGTGGGTCTAGCAAGGTTCATTTTGACCTCATCAAAGCAACCAATATCACCGACTGACAGCGAATTTCCCATAATTTGTGACCAAGCATGATTCGGTGCGTCATACGCGTATTGGCCCGCCGGGCACTGGATAGTACACGGCCCGTGTACCACTTTTGGTCACAAACAAAATCGGGCGAGTGCAAAACAGTGCTGTCCAGACATCTAAACATGCACACACACACACGAGCGCATTCGCGAACGTGCTTCCACGTCAGCAATCGATGGATTCGGTCGAGGCACATGCAATACGGCCACGTCAAGCAGACCAAGGTAAATAAACGAAATGTGCATCGCGTTCAAGAACGAAACGAACACAAACGAATACCCGCTTACACAAGGAAAGTGTACCTTTTTCAGGCTTATGCCCTTAATATCCCCAAAAATGATTTCCGGTAATGCAATACCAAAGCAATTAAAAAGAACAACAGTGAACATACTACTGTTTCATGCCTGAATTAGTTTGCGAATTGTTTTCCTGGCCTTTTTCTACGTGGTGACAAAATATGTTGAGCTTTTTCTGTTGCACACCCCTTGAATAACGGGCTAGATAATAAATCCACTTAGTCCCAGGGCCTGACATTCCCTCATTGAAACCGGCAATCTTAAACGCATACACTCGAACTTTCATATAACACTCCACACCCTCATTGTCTCTTCACAGCGACGTGTATACACGCAAAATCAATGAACAAGAAGCTCTAACCAGACAACTAAAAGACGAACAGAAACGGCTGATCGAGAACCAGGACAGTGGACTGCAACAGGTGGGCATGTGGAAAGACCTGGTCCAATTGCTGGAAGCGAAACAGGAGGTGCATGAGGCGAATCAGGCACGTCAACGCGCAGGAGGTGAATACGCGGATGTCACACG